AGGTGGACTTTTAAGAAGTCCAAGGGGTATTTTTTTTATAGATTTTAATAGGGAGCAACACAGCTCTTAGAGTGTTGTTCTGAGACTGTTGTCGGATCATGGTACACTTTTATCCTTTGGCCATTTACCTTGAAAATAGAATTATCTTCCGGGTTTACCAAGTCCACTGCTCCATAAGGATAAACTTTAGAAATAAGAAAAGGCCCAGATCATCTAGACTTAAGTTTTCCAGGGAATAACTTTAGTCTAGAATTAAATAAAAGCACATGTTGGCCTTCTCTCAATTCTCTGTGCTGGATTATGTTATCATGCCATTTTTTTTTAAACAGTTTGGCATTCTCATAAAACAACAACCTATGCTCATCCAGTTCACACAGTTGTAACTTCCTTTTCTTTCCGGCTTCATTCAAAGACATATTGAGCTCTTTGATTGCCTAGTACGCTTTGTGTTCAAGCTCTAACGAAAGATGGCAGGCCTTGCCATAGACTAGCTTGTATGGGGACATACCAATTGGTGTTTTGAAAGTGGTTCTGTATGCCCATAAAGCATCATCTAGCTTAAATGCCCAATCCTTCCTGTTAGGCTAGACAACCTCTTCCAAAATACTTTTTATTTCTCTGTTGGACAACTCTGCTAAGCCATTTGTCTGTGGGTGATAAGTTGTGGCTGTTTTATGATTAACATTATATTTTGCAAGAACTCCATTTAACAAATTATTTATAAAATGGGTACCCTCATCACTTATTAAGGCTCTGAGGGTACCAAACCGTGTAAAAATTTGTTTTTGAAGGAACTTAACCACAGTCTTGGCATCATTTGAAACCATGCCACAACTTCTACCCATTTTGAGACATAATCTACAGCAACCAACATGTATTGGCAGTTATTTCATGGAGGGAAAGGACCCATAAAGTCTATTGCCCAAACATCAAATAACTCAACTTCTAGGATCCCATGTAGTGGCATTTCATTGCTTTTAGAAATGGACCCACTTCTTTGGCATTCATTGCACCTTTGTGCAAAATTATGGGAATCCTTGAAGAAAGTACGCCAATAGAAACCAGACTGTAGAACCTTGGCCGCAGTTCTCTGTCCTCCAAAATGACCTCCATAAGGAGCTTGGTGACACTGATTCAACACTTTTGTTACCTCAGATTCAGGAATACACCTTCTCAAAAGCTGATCTGCACCAAGTTTAAACAAATAGGGGTCATCTCAAAAATAAGATTTGACATCATGAAAAAATTTCTTAAGCATGTGGCTTGAATATTCAGATGGTTTGATGCCACAAGCTAAGAAATTTGCTATATTAGCAAACCAAGGTGCCTTTTGTTGTTGCACCATCAAAATTCTTTCATCCAGGAAGGTCTCTATGATGTCACCTCCCCCTATATCAGGTTTCTCTAACCTAGATAAATGGTTTGCTACCTAATTTTCCATACCCTTCCTATCACGTATTTCCAAATCAAATTCCTGTAATAACAACACTCACCTTATCAACCTAGGCTTTGCATCACTCTTTGAAATCAAATATTTAATGGTTGCATGATCAGTATGCACAATCACTTTAGTCCCCATTAAGTATGATCTAAATCTCTCAAATGCAAACACTACGACCAATAATTCTTTTTTCGTGGTGGTGTAGTTTATTTGTGCCTCATTCAAAATTTTACTTGCGTAATAAATTGAATGAAACACCTTCTCTCTTCTCTGACCTAAAACAGCACCAACCGCCCAATCGCTCGCATCACACATGATCTCAAAAGGTTTATTCCAGTCCGGAGCAACTACCACTGGTGAAGTAATCAGGGCTTTCTTCAAAGTTTTGAATGCATTTTTACATTCATCATTAAAATCTAATTTTTGGTCATGTTGTAGGAGTAAACATAAAGGTTTTGATATTTTTGAAAAATCCTTTATGAACCTTTTGTAAAATCCCGCATGACCCAAAAAACTCCTGATTCCTTTAACAGTGGTAGGTTCTAGTAGTTTTTCAATAACTTCGAGTTTTGCTCTATCTATCTCCACTCCTTTTTTAGAGATTAAATGCCCTAGAACAATTCTTTCCTTAACCATGAAATGACACTTCTCCCAGTTTAGGACCAAATCAGTTTTCTCACACCTTTCAAGACTTTTTTTTCAAATTATTTAAACAATTGTCAAAAGATGACCCATATACAGAAAAATCATCCATAAAGATTTCAATGGATTTTTCAAGCATATCAGAAAATATGGACATCATACACCTCTGAAAGGTGGCAGGACCATTGCACAATCCAAATGACATTCTTCTGAAAGCAAAGGTGCCATAAGGACATGTGAAGGTGGTTTTTTCCTGGTCCTCGGGAGAAATAGCTATCTGATTGTAACCTGAATAGCCATCTAAGAAACAGTAATACTCTTTGCCGGCTAATCTGTCCAACATTTGATCAATGAAAGGTAGTGGAAAATGGTCTTTGTGAGTAGCCTTGTTCAGTCTCCTATAGTCCATGCATATTCTCCAACCGGAGACAACTCTGGTGGGGATGAGTTCATTTTTTTTTTCATTTGTGATGACTGTGAACCCTCCTTTCTTGGGAACACACTGGACCGGACTAAACCAAGAACTATTGGCTATCGGGAAGATAATTCCTGCATCTAACCATTTCAAAATCTCCTTTTTTACTACCTCTTTCATGACAGGATTCAACCTTCTTTGAGGTTCTATGGATGTGAAATTTTTGTCCTCTAAGATGATCTTATGTTGACAAATTGAGGGACTAATCCCTTTAAGGTCAGCAATGGTCCATCCTAAACCTTTTTGTGTATTTTCAACATGTCCACAAGTTTCTTCTCTTGATGCAAGTCTAGGGTAGATGAGATAATGACAGGCAATTTGCCTTCTTCTCCTAGAAAAGCATATTTCAGATGGGACGGGAGTTGCTTTAACTCCAGGTCTGGTGGTGATACTATGGACGGGGTGAAGTCTTTTTGCTCATTATTCTCCAAAAGTTCAAAAGCTGACACCTCTTCTGGCACAAAATCATTTCCTATTGCCTCTACTTCCTCAACAATCTCTTCTTCTAATTCCTCTACACTATCTTCTTCCAACTTAAGGTTTTCCTGAATTCCTTCCTCAACAACCTGTTCTTCTATTTCAGCTATGCCTGAACACTCTTCCAGATAATTAGGGTATTTTAAGGAGTTGAAGACATTAAATGTGACCTTTTGGTCTTGAAGCCTCATGGTCAACTCTCCTTTCTGGACATCTATCATAGTTCTTCCCGTGGCTAAGAAAGGTCTTCCTAAAATAATCGGAATGTCCTTATCAGCCTCAAAATCTAATATGATAAAATCTGCCGGAAATATGAATTTATCAACCTGTACCAACACATCTTCTATCTTTCCCTTAGGGTATGTAATGGACTTATTTGCTAGCTGGAGTGTGACTGTGGTGGGTCTAGCCTCTCCTATGCCTAAGGTGTTAAAGACAGACAAAGGCATGAGGTTAATACTAGCTCCTAAGTCACATAGGGCTTTTCCTATCTCCTTCCCTCCTATTGAACAAGGAATGGTAAAACTCCCTAGATCTTTAAGCTTAGGGGGTATGCTATTGGTCAAAAGTGCACTACATCCTTCGGTAAGAGCTACAGTCTTATACTCAGTCAACTTCTTCTTCTTGCTTAAGATATCATTCAAAAACTTAGCATAACTAGGCATTTGCTCAATTGCCTCAACAAGGGGTATGTTGATGTGCAATTCTTTAAACACATCCAAGAATTTCTTAAAATTCAATTCATCTTTTTGATTCCTCAACCTCTGGGGGTAAGGAACATAAGGAGGGATTGGTTTTATCACATTTTTACTTGGAGGTGTTGAGCAAGATGGGTCTTGATTGTCCTGAGTTTTTGTGGTGCTCTTTGATGGTTTAGAAAGAATCTTAGTGTCAAGCTTAGGGGTCTCTACAACCTCAGTCCCTTCTGACTTCTTCAGAGTTTGCTCTGGAAAAAGTAAAGGGAAGCTTGATCTAGGGGGAACAAGAGTGGTCGTCTCAGATGTTTGCTTTTCTAGAGGTGGGACCGGTCCTCCTTTGAGAGGGACCGATATAGGATCACTAGGTTCTGATAGTCTTGGTGTACTATCTTTCTGCACTTTTTCTGTCAACTCCTTTCTACTCCTAAGAGTCACTACTTTCACATGCTCCTTTCCTAGATCTCTAGGGACTTCTGTATTACTGGGCAAGGTCCCAAGGGCTCGACTAGTCTGGTTAAGTGCAAGTTGACTGACCTGAGTCTCTAAATTCCTGATGGCAGCACTTTGTTGATTAATCAAAGCTTGATTTTGGGCTTGAGCATGTGCTAAAAGCCTTTTAATCATTGCTTCCAAAGAAGATGATGATTCTGCCTGTGGAGGAGGTTTGTTCTGAAAATGTGGCTGAGAATTTTGAAAACTTGGTTGGTGGTTCTGAGAGTTAGAACTGTTTGCATGATGATGTGGTTGGAAATTAGAAGTTCCTTGTTGCTTATGGACTGGTGGGTTAAGACTGAGACTGTTCCAAGAAAAGTTCGGGTGCTGTCTCCAGCTGGCATTATATGAGTTAGAGTAGGGATTAGATATGTTTTGAACATAATTTACTGATTCAGAATTATGAGTACAATGTTCATATGAATGATCCCCACTGCAGCACACACATTGCACATATAGGACTGTTGGAACAGATGTGTTAGCAGCCTGCTGTACTCCCTAACCAGAAGTTAAATTTTTCAATAAATTGGTCATGGAGGTAAACTGAGCTGTTAATGCAGTATATGCATCCACCTCATGTATTCCAGCAGTCTTTTTCTGTGGATGGGCACGTCGGTCAGCCCAATGCCCATTGTTTGCTAAAATCTTTTCTAGGATCTCATATCCCTCATTATAGGTACTGGCTGTAAAGGCTCCGCCTGCAGTCGCGTCGAGCATTTGTTTTGCCATGGGACTTAACCCATTGTAAAACGTCTCAAGTTGAATACAGTACGGAATGCCATGGTGTAGGCATTTCTTCAATAGCCTTTTAAACCTTTCCCACGCGTCAGGAACAACTTCATCATCCAGTTGTTTAAAAAGACAGATCTCGTTCCTCGACTTAGCGTTTCTTGTTGGTGGAAAATATTTTCGCAAAAAAATTTCTGCCATGTTACTCCAAGATGGCACAGATCCCGGTGTTAAAGAGTTAAACTATGCTTTTTCCCGATCCCTCAATGAAAATGGAAATAAAGTAAGTCTGAGAGCGTCATTGGACACTCCCGGGATCAGGAAGGCATCTGTGATTTCCATAAAAGACTTTAAGTGAGATTGTGGGTCTTCTGAGGGCATTCTGACAAATTGACCATTAGATTGCAACATGTGAAACATTATCGGTTTTAGTTCGAAATGGAGAGCGGTCATATGTGGTCTAACTATCCTAGAATTTAATTGCTCAAAATCCGGGATAGCATAATCCATGATCCTTCCATTTTKGGAATTTGCCAGATTAATGATGTTCGGAGTCTGTGCCCTTTGTTGCTTATTATGGTCTGATTCTGTGTCCAAATTATTATCATTATCATATGTGGGTGTCCTTGGTGAAAATTCGGGAACGGTGGTATTTGCCCAAAACCTGGCGGTTGGTTTTCCAAATGTGGTATTTCCGGAATGATGGGAGGAGGTAACTCCATGTTGGGAGGGAGTAGAGCCTGAAATGCTCTTTGAGCCCTCCTTCTATGGTGAAACGTTCTCTCAATATCTGGATCAATTTCGAAAAATTCCCCGTGATGTGTTCTTGGCATACACCACTTTCAAGATGATAAAAACATGTATTAGAAAAATCTAATCATTTACTTTACTCAATGAAAACTTTAAGCTTGCCAATCCCCGGCAACGGCGCCAAAAACTTGGTCGGTCAAATCATATACCTTTAGACAAAAGAGTTGGGCCACAAAGCAAGTATACAATATGACTCAATATTATCTTTCCAAGTAATAAAGTGGTATAAGTACCGGAATATCGTCCACATGGATTGGAGCAAAAGTTAGATAAGAGTCCAGTGAAAGAAAAGATTTCAGATGACGAAAATGAAGACTTCAGTTGATTATGAGTTAACAAAGACAATATAACAGAATAATAAGACATAATAATAACGGTAGCACGGGTGTAAGACTTGGGGTGAAACGTAAACACAAAATCCAGCAGACAATGCTGTAGAAGAACTAGTTCCACCATCTATCTTGAAGGTATTCCTCTCGGACTTCACCTTTGCACTATATTATAGCTTTGCACCCATATCTCTATGTGGTGTTCGGACCAGTGATAGTGACAAAATGGTGTCTTCAAGATATATGGCTAAACAAATCTCTTTGTTAAAAATCACTCTTTCGAGCCGATTTCCATATCATTCAAGTTGGCGTGTTCTTGACAGTTCATCTCTGAATTTATCACACTTTGACACTTTTAGAGAGCGACCAACCCGTCGGGAGTTAAGTTTGAAAAACATAAATGACAAGTCTCCTTGT